GGTACCAAGCTTGTTTAGTGCAGCCTGCTGTACTGCAGTTTTTATCCTGGACCACTGCACGTCAGTGGTATCTGCTTCGATGACCGATGGGGTACACTCGTTCGCCGGCCGGGTTTGAATTTCATCCATCAGTGTTTTTGATTTTTCGCAACACTCTAATGGGCCCACGTTGATGCGGCTTGGAGGAATCATAGACACAGTTTGTAATTATTCTGCAACCTTGTAATTGCTTGTTTTTTTAGAGTAATGCCACATTTCACTGCCATTTGTAATGCATCTGCTTCACACTCCAAATATGTGTTAACAGAATATCGCACACCATTTTTAGCCGGCCTACCTGCAATCAGAATCTGCATCTCATCCTACTCACTCAATGTCGACTCCGTTCTCGCGGTCTTCGCCTTCAAGTTGGGAACCTTCTACTCGTCTGGCACCAGCAATGGCTTCCACAGCGTTGCGCAATCCTTTACCGAGTTTACGACCAGACACTCAGCTTAATTTCAATCAAAGCGCGTCACGTCGATCGGTGACTAGTCCACAAACCACAATAGACAACTCCGTTTACCCGCGTCAGTCGGTTAGTCCTACTCAGCGTATGACTCAAGTGAACACGATGCCAACATCCAATCTTAGTGACACTTCTGATGTGCATTCGGACTCCAGGACGGCACATTCTACGCGTCCGGGGAACGCGTCCGACGAGCAAAAAAAGTTGACAAAAAAATTGGTATGTTAGCAGTCCGTTCACTTTGCCTGTAATCTATAACTGGTTTTCGTTTTCACTTTTCATTATTTTAAAATGACCATCAAAGGTTCGTATATCAGAATGGATAAAAGAAATCGAGACAAGCAAGAAAATTAGGGTGTTTATTCCTAATGTCTGTTCAACACGGGATTATGAAATTGAGGGTGAAGCGTGCAATGAACTGAAAAGGCTGAATGCCTAATTTATTAGAGCATTTATCGATCCAAGTCGGCATCAACTCGAGGGCATTGAAAGCAAATTACACACGTACACCAGGAACAACCCAACTATTCCCGCAGCATGAATACGTATTATAGGGATGTGCGGAGGGTGTTTTGTTTATGGAACTTCAATTCGTCATTGTCTAATCAACGAATCAGTTATCACGAATAATCCTAAAAGAAACCGCACAGATACACAGTTTACAAGTCCACTTGTAGTGTCCATGAGACATGGACAGCACAAAAACAGTCTCATTTGAACAGTTCTTCATTTCTTGACACTATCCATGCCATAAGCTACCTACCATAATTAACGTCAAATTGTTCAGACCGCACAAAGTAAATCAGCCAGCATTTCTACTGTACTGTGCCACATTCTAGGGCGCAATCTAATTGCTATCTTTTTATATCGCCCAGTTGCACCTGTTTGAAGAAGCTGCCAACGTCGAAGACCTTGTTGCCAAATTACAAGTGGCTGAACTCGTCGGTCGCTTGAATACTGAAGTACTCGCTTTGTTTGTGATGAGGGCTTGTGAAGAAGGTAAGTGTTATGCGCATATTTAGTCATATTGCTTAATTGCTTTCAATCGTATTTCATACTTTGTCGAACAAATCATGCAAAATTCATGCTTATGTGGCACAATGCCATGGTTTTTATCCAGGGTATTCCGCTGTTTAGAAAATGGTTGCTAAGTTTTACAGTTCAACTAGAGTGTTGACCAATAAGCACATCATTGTTGACCGGTTCTTTTCTTCCATTGCACGCCTCAGCCAGTGCTAGCGAGCAGTTTTCGTGTTTGTGGCCATTGAATATGTTCACAAATAATAATTTTTTATACTAAGTTTACGCTTTCCATGTATTTCATGCCCATTGGAATTCAAAAAGAAATGTAATAACGCATAAAACAGTTTATAGTGATGGTAAATTGGAAGTGTTATTAGTAGCCGGTACTCAGGCCTCTTAATGTGCCTAATACTCAGGTGATATCCATTTTCGAGTCTTGAAAAGTCGTGTATTTTTGAACGAAAAACAACCCATTGCGCACTTCCGTTCTTTTTGCATCACAATAATGGACAACTCTATACGTTTTCTAGTCTAAGTACTGCAATATCCTTGATGCTCCCCGTCGTGCAGTGTTTCACGTTTACGATCCTCGTCTCACCCTTTGCAACACAGACAAACCCACTTTTACGGTGAAAACCCCAGTAGTTTCAAGTTTTTTAGCATATCGCTTAACTAGATCGTCACTATCAGTGTGAACGATGTGTGACCATTGGAGCACGCCACCGTTGTCCGTTTTATCTAACCATTTTCGCGACACTTGTGCAGGCGATGCACAAGTAGACAAATTTTGCTACATTCCAAGTTCCGGGGCTCAGATGACTGGTTGTTACCATTGATTACATTATTGGTTTCCGCAACTGAGGTCTACCCTTTCTGCTGTCTACCACAGGTTGTGTTGAAAATTAACAATGAATAGGTCCTTCATTCTGTCAACATCACAATGTATACTGCTAACCGATACAATAACAATCCCTCTGTTGTGTGCTCAAAAATTACTTAGGTTATCGCTTGATTTCCTTCGGCTCACCGTTTGACGACTGTGTGAGTAAACAAGCAGCTATGTTGTTATTGCAGATATCATATCCCATCTTTATAGTCAACTGATTCTCTGTATGACTCAAATTTTCTCCCTTAAAATGCTGACTGTGAGGTATCTTATATACCTTGGCATGATTGCGAATCACTGAAAAACCTGTTAGCTATTTTGATTTATTGATTGTTCCATTGCAAAAGGTTTTTTTCTGGTGTCTGCATCTTCGTTAGTACTACATATGTAGACCTTTTATTCCTATTAACGATCGGTTTTTCTTCAGCTAATCGTCGCCTTTCTGTTGTTTTATTACAGGTGCCACGTTT